AAAACAGATATTTGATATACAGGGACAAGCTCCCCAGGTAGGTATGCTTAAGCTAGGGCACCTGAAATTGTAATGGAAAATGTCTTAATCTTCAGCGAGACATTGAAGCTTTGGTGTTGTAATGTGTTAGTATCCTTGATTACTTAAGCCTGGGCATACAGAATCATTAATAATGTCATGTTTGCACTTTTGTTTCAGGGAAGTGTTTAAGCAGCAATCTGAATTCCAAGAAGTCTGGATAGTTCATTCTGCTCGCTATGGAAACATGCTATTCTTAGACCTCGAAGAGAGTAAGTTCACGCAAAGTCATCCCTTGTGTAGGGTAAATCTCCCTTCATGAGTATTTTCCCAGCATGGACACCTCAGTCTGTGTTGAGGACTGTTCACTTACTAGTTCATGAAGTAGTCAATCACTGCCTCTAGAGATGCTATAAAATGGACACCTCCATAACATGGACACTGAGTTTATGTTAGCTCAGCCCCTTTGGCATTCATTCAAAAAGGCTCAACTGTGTTATTATACACATGTATCCCATCATTCCTTGGCTGTTGTGTTTCTAGCCCTCAGATTAATGTAAAAGTTGGAATAGTAACAGTCTACGTTGTGTACATGTATGCCCTTTCCATACCTCTCATACCAAATCAATTTTATGAAAGACATTACAGATTTCATATAGTACAGAATATTTTTTCCTCTTTCATGGGACTTTGAACTGTCTTTCTGTTTTAGTCTGAAATCCCAGGGGAAGATTGCAAAAACTAAGCTAAGGAACATGTTATTCAAGGATCCAGAGCTACAGTACTGGAAGCTTGCCACTTTGATACATCTTTCTTGTTTGCTCAATTTTTGCTTGAAATTCTTCCCTGCAGATTTTGGAGCAAAAGAGAGACTGCTTGCCCTCTACTCTTTCATGTAACTTTATTTTTTGTTGCTTATTTCTCTTCAGTGTTGGCAGAAAGTGACATTGACTACACAAAAGCACTCTTAGGGAATGGTAGAGAAAACTACAAAGACATGAATGTGCTCATTTTAGGGGGTGGAGATGGAGGAGTGTTAAACGAGCTCCTAAAGGAATCTCCAAAGTTTGTCACCATGGTCGAGATATCCTTTCGTAGTGAATGTCCCAAGGCTCGGGTTGAGGGACTCAGAGATTCAAAGCCAGGGCTTGCTCTTATAGTTATTTGTTTTAACCCCCTCATCCCAGGGGTAACCTTTAGCCTGCTATCGTTTAAATTTTTTAGTCTGTTGATAAAACCCAACTTGAAGTGATAGCTATTGAGT